ATGTATTTTATATAGATACCCGATGATGTCATGGCTGCCCGCACTTACAATCTACCTCCCCCTCATTGTTGTTGCTTTTTTCCCTTATCACGGCCTTGTTAGGCCTCGATGCAATGAAATCTTCATACATCGCCGTAGCTTCAATCTGACTAGCTCGCTCCAATTCATACTGCCGCTAATCTGTCGGCTTACCTGAACGAGACAATAGGTAGTCGAGCCCTACAGCTGCAAGCGTACCTGAAATTGATCTACAATCCCAATACCTCTTTTCTTTCGCCTTCCATCTCCTCGTCGATATCAACGTTGCTATCTCGTGTGTGTTCACCGTTGTTAGATGCTCAGTCGTTTCTTCCCCCCTCTTACCTTGGTCCTCTATTTTCGTGATCTATCTTCCCCGTAAATCTTTTTTTTTACTCTTATCAGGCCATCCTTCAACATGGTTGTAGTCGACAACCACGAATACCTCACCGAGGAAGAGAAGCGTCTCAAGGAAGATAGTCATCGAGTTAAATACTGGAAGAAATGGGGTCCCTACGTTGCTGAACGACAATGGGCTACAGGCAAGCGGGGCTACTAACCTCTCGTCTCGACTCCCAACTGTTTAACTAACTTGGAATACTCAGTGCGAGAGGATTATAGCGCAGACGGAGATGCTTGGAGCCGTAAGCAGCTCTCTTATGCTTTACCGTATTCGTGCTGACTTCCCCTCCCGTGTAGACTTTACACATGACCACGCCCGATCTCGAGCGTTTCGCTGGGGTGAAGACGGTATAGCTGGAGTATCAGACTCACACGGCCTACAGAATATTGCATTTGCTTTCTGGAACGAGCAAGAGTCCGTGTTTACGCCCTTTGATACCTAACGAGACACATCTTACTGACGAATGATAGTCCTTTCCTCAAGGAGCGGCTTTTCGGCCTAGCAAATCCTCAGGGTAATCATGGTGAAAGTATCAAGGAAGCACACTTCCACCTTGATAACACTCCTGTAAGCTTTGAATATGATCTATGTTGTGGCTATTGCTAATAGTAATTGTAGACAGTAAGAGATCATATGATCGACCCTACCCGTGTCCTTACTGACGGCCAGCCAGCATTCCTATATGAAATACCTCTATAAATATCCCCAGAAAGCGTTTCCTTATGATGACCTCATAGAAACAAACGGGAAAAGGACGAAGGAAGAGCAGGAATACCAGATCATCGACACTGGAATATTCGATGAAGACAGATACTGGGACATTATAATCGAGACTGCTAAGGAGGCAGATGACCCTGACGAGATACTCTTCCGGGTCACGGCATGGAATCGAGGTCCGGATCCAGCTCCCCTCCATATCATTCCTCATGTCTGGTTTCGAAACACGTGGGCCTGGGGAAGGGAGACGGCAGATAAAAAGCCAGCTATCTCGTATTTCACCGAGAACATGGCCAAGTCGAGGCATCATAAACTAGGTGACCGATATATGCTGTTATCACCCTCGCCAGGCGTTGGAACTAGTGGAGAGGATGTCGAACCAGAGCTTATCTTCACAGACAACGACACCAACTACGAACTCCTATATGAAGGGGAGAATAAAGTCCCATATGTCAAGGACGCATTCCATCAGTACATTGTCGATGGGAAGAAGCAAGCTGTGAACCCAGCCAGGACGGGCACAAAATGTGCCGCGTGGTTCCAATTTAACGAGTCAGGGGGCGTTGGCCCTGGCGAATGTGCCGGTAAGCTATCGATGAAGTCACAACTGAGATATATATAGAGCGCTGGCTGACATCTATAATAGTTGTTCGTTTCCGATTTTCGAGGAAAAATGAGAGCTACCTAGACGAAGAAATTTTCGATGATATTGTCGAAAAGAGACGAGAGGAGGCAGATGAGTTTTACTATAGGATTAGCCCCCTGCCGATGTCCGAGGATCTCCGCAACATCCAACGCCAGGCATTTGCAGGTATGATGTGGTGTAAACAATATTACCAGTTCATCTGGGACCAATGGGCCAATGGCGATCCCTCTCAACCACCGCCTCCGCCCGAGAGGAAGGCTATTAGAAATTCGCAATGGAAGCACTTGCATATCGACGATATCCTATCCATGCCGGATTCGTGGGAATACCCCTTCTTCGCGGCTTGGGATTCTGCGTTTCACTGCATCCCGCTTGCTATGATCGACCCAGACTTTGCGAAGAAGCAAATCGACCTGTTTACCAGAGAATGGTACTGCCATCCAAATGGCCAGCTCCCAGCGTACGTGCTGTTGATAGAAATGTATAAATGAAAACATTCTAACCTGACTACAGATACGAATGGAACTTTGGCGACGTCAACCCACCAGTTCATGCTTGGGCCACTTTCCGCGTGTTCAAGATCGAGCGCAAGATATATGGAAGACAAGACATCGACTTCTTGGAGAGAGTATTTCAGAAGCTACTATTAAATTTCACTTGGTGGGTCAATCGAAAGGACATGGACGGTAAAAATGTCTTCGAGGGAGGCTTCCTCGGGCTGGACAATATTGGTCTCTTCAATCGTTCTGAGCCGCTTCCGACGGGGGGTGTTCTTGAACAAGCTGACAGTACGGGGTGGATGGCGTTCTATTGCTTGTGCATGTTGAACATTGCACTCGAGCTTGCCAAGCATCGGAGGATTTACGAGGATATCGCCTCGAAGTTCTTTGAGCATTTCATATTCATCAGTGATGCCATGACATTCAAATCCGGGGAAAAGGACGAGAAGTCATTATGGAACGACGAGGATGGCTTCTACTATGATGCCATTTCGTGGGGTGGACCGTGGATTCAACAACTGCCTGTCCGGTCACTCGTAGGGTTGATTCCGCTCTACGCAACACTGACTTTGGAACCAGAACTAATCAACAAGCTACCTTCCTTTAAGAAGCGTGTGGATTGGTTCATAGAGAACCGATGTGACTTAGCCGAGAGAAATATGGCAAGTATTCGGAAGAGGGGTAAGGGAAATCGTATCCTTCTTGCGATGGTGAGCAAAGACCGACTAGAGAAGATCCTGAAGCGTATGCTCGACGAAGATGAGTTCCTGAGCGAGCATGGTATCAGATCTCTCTCTCGACACCATAAGGAGAACCCATACTCTATGGAGGTCAATGGCCAGAAATTCACAGTGGGATATGTCCCTGGTGACTCTGACAGTGGGCTGTTCGGCGGTAACAGTAACTGGAGAGGACCTATTTGGCTATGTGTCAATTTCCTTCTAGTGGAATCTCTCCAGCGATTCTTCCTCTTCTACGGACCTAATTACCAAGTTGAGTGCCCTACCGGGTCTGGGGAATATATGCACTTGGGGCACGTCTCCGAAGAGATCCAACATCGGTTACAACACCTGTTTGCTCGTGGCGACGACGGACGTCGGAGCATCAATGCCGGAAACGACATGCTAGACTTTGATCCGAACTGGAGAGACCACATGTGGTTCCACGAGTTCTTCGACGGCGACACGGGTCGCGGCTTGGGAGCAACGCACCAGTGCGGCTGGACGGGTCTGATCGCACGTATGATTCACGACACAGGGTAAGTTATTCCACTATATGCCATGTTATAATCATACACTAACACGTACAACAGCATCAGTTGTCGCCTCCCACAGACGCCCCGCACGCCGACGGCCGGCATGTCTCACTACTTCGACGATATCCTACACCGGCACGTGGGGATCAGCAAGCCTCAGAGGGGTCACATGCGGCGGTCGTCGACGGCGCGGTCAATCAGTGCGCGCAGTGACTTCGACGCATCTGTTAACGGTGAGGAATATGATGTTCGTAGCGTAGCGCCAGATGATCCAGAAAGAGAGGCCCAGCGCAAAGAGGCGGATGCTCATCTACATCAGTATATCTCGGAGCAGCTGCAGCGGGTTAAGGACCATGATGAGTTTGAGGGGTTGGCGGCTGGGGATGAGTATGAGACGCATTTGTAGGGGGCGCCAGGGGTTATATTAGGGTATATTCTTAGATCCTAGAGAGCTCTTAGAGGGGTAAGAAGGGTAAGGAGGATATGCTTGCTTATATGGAAGATTGGATGATGGGGGTATTTATAAAAGAGGAGGGCAGGGGGGGTGAAGGATATACGCATTTACATACAGATATACAAATAAAGATGCATGGGAATACATGGCTACCTATATTATCTAGTTGGCTAGAGAGAATACGATTATCCCGGTATATGATGGGATGTTCTGATGCCTATATTGCCTGTTTTTGAAACTTGATGTGTGAATGGATAAGATGTTGTGATGGTTAAGATTTTGAGGGTGCTTGAGGTCAGTTGATGTGTAAAGCTAATATTAGCTGATGTCGTGAGAGTAAGGTAGCCGGGTACCGAAACTTTCTCTCGGTTAATGAGTGGTGTTATGGACAAAATTCACTTTCTACTCGGAGTTTTCTAAGTTAATTAATGTTGTTAGACATGCCACCACCATCGACTTATTTTATACTCAAATGGGGGGAGGTTTAGATGGTAGCCATGATTTTATGATCGTGGTATATTAGGTACCTACGAAATTACGTGCTCAGGGAGAATCAGTGTATATTATTAGACGTATCGAGGCGTAGATATAAAGCATGGTTTCTGGTTTATAATTATTACCTTACGTTGAGGTGTTGCAACTCTTAACATGTTTATAATAAGGATGATATTAGGTAAATGTTGTTAAGACTGGTGACTCTGGTCTGTGTTTACGTTATGATAGATGCGTTTTAGGTCTTGGACTGGTAGTTGTTTATGGGTTGGCGGTTACTTGTAGAGTATCGGTGTTAGTTGGTTCTGAAAAGGATCAACACATCTATTTCTGGTCCATAGCCTAAGTATAGGTCTATTTGAGTTAATCACATACCTACCAGGTACCTTGGTTATTTATGTTAGATCTGAATATTAAATCTGTTTGAAGCTAAAGCAACCGTTATGTATAAAGTATATCAGTTTGCCTACGCCAAGTCAGTTCAGGATTGCAAGATGGGTAACTTATAAGATGTAATCTAGTCAAGCATGCGACTTAATTAACCATCTAACTGAGCCTTATATGGAAGGAAGCATATCTTGGGTGGTAGTTTTAAATATTATTGACTGCCTGGTCTGACATCTTACAACTCAGATACGAGGATAGCTTGGAAAACAAGAGTCTTTATAAAAGAGGTTTATGATAAATGCCAAACCAGTCAGAATCTTTTAGACGTAAGGCCCATCAATTATTAGTCTCATAAGCAGGCAAATGATATTGGGGGACGAATGCTTCCTCTATTCTACGAGCCTATACACAATGGCATCTCGACGGAGAAACCAGCCTTCTAGTCGCAAGCGCCTCTCCAAAGCAGCTGCCATGCTCGCACAAGACAAAGGGAAGGTTGTTTTACAAAGTGTCAGTTAGGAGCTTGTTCAGCTTGGCAATCTTGGCCGAGACCGAGAGATCAATTGTCCTGTCTCCAATCTCCACGACGAGACCACCAAGAATCTCCGGGTTGACCTGGTTGGTGACCTTCAGCTTCTTGCCCTGTCCGACGTATTGAGACTTGGAGATGGCGGTTTCGATACGGTTTAGAGTCTTGTTGTCCAATTGCTGTGACGAGCATTAGCATATTTGTTCTGGCTGACCCCCACGTTTACTCCGGGCTAGGAATTCCGTACCTGGGCGCTGGTAACAACCAGCTCGATCTCGCCTCGGGACGCGCTCATGATCTGGCCAAACTTCTCGGAGACGCCGGGGAGTATTCCCAGACGGTTGTTCTCGGCCAGGGTAGCGAGGAAATTCTTGACGGTCTCGTTCGAGCTCGCGGCACCGAGGTTCTTCTGCAGCTCCGCAACGATGGCGCTCTTGTCGCGGTCTGAAAGCGTGGGGGTAGTCAAGATGGTGGCAAGCTTGGGATCCCTGGCAAGGAGGTCACCGAGGGCGCTCAGAGCCTTCGCGGTAGGATCGAGGGACGAGGACTTGACGGCGGCAGTGTACTAAATAGCTCATCAGTCAATATGGCTTATTCTAGAATTAACCAATGGCTTTCTCCATATCACACCCTCCCCAATTGGATTCCTCTGTGTATCCTAGGCGCAAACATCAGGTTTTCGGAAGGGGATTGGCATACCAGGGCAGTAGCATAGGTACCATCGAGGCCATAGACGGCAACGGGAGGCTTGACGTCCTGGGTGGCAGGGGCGGCGGCATAAGAGCGAATGGGGGCGCGGGCGAGGGACCGCTGAGGGGCCGCAGCTCGGACTGAGCGGAATGCCTGTCGGGCGAACATGACGGCGTGGATGTGGAGGATTAGTACGGAGTATAAAAGGATGGGTGATGTCTCGATTCTCAAAGCTCGGCTTCAAAGACGTTTGCAAGAAATCGATCCCGGGGTTTTAGCGGGCCAACCGACCTAAAGTGGGTCTTGAACGTCCTGGCAGTCTGGCGGGTATTGGAAAAAGTTGAATGTTGAAAGTTGTGAGGAGAAGCCACAAAGCCACAGAACACAAAAGTGGCTCATATGTACTATGTTAGGTACCTAGGTTAGGTAGGTTCCATCTAAGAAGTCCAAGCCGGAGGCCAGAGCCATTTCCATTTAGGACAAAGCGCAAAACAATAGGTACCTAATGCGGCCTAACCTGGGGCTACGCGCATAATAACATTGAAAGTCTTAATTAGGTAAAAGAAAGTACATATGTATTATACCATTTCCATTTTTCCGTGTCCGTGACGTACCTGCCCACCACGTGCCGTTAGGTACATATGTAGGTTCAGACGCCCCGACAGGTTCAATTTCCTTCAACTGTCAGCCCGAAAACGTTCCAAACCTGCACGGAATTCTTCACCGTCTACAACTCTACAACTTCTCAAAGCCAGAAGAGAACATATTTTGGGCGCGCTGCATCGCCCAACTCTAGTGGTCTTTTTTTCTTCTCTGTCGCCCAACTTTAGGAGGCTTTTTGATTTAATTCATCATCCTCTAGGTATATTACCTCTACCGTGACATTCACTGCCTGCCTTAGATCCTCTTGTTTATCTGCAACCTGCAAGGACAAAAAGTTGTTTTGTCTTGATCGGGTTGTGTGGTTACTTTAGGATCTTAGACCGAGACGCATTTGCGTTTGGATTCGATACGGTAGCCGTGTCACTGTAGCCATCATCTTTCTTTTTTTTCGCTTCCGTACCAGTATCGCGCAAAGCTGTCCTTCTTTTTTTCCTATGGTAAGGCTAGGATTGTAAGGATTGTTAGGATTACTATTGTGATGACGAGGGAACGCAAAAAAGCCCCGGTGCCCGTTCGTGGCGTACGGGCTCTAAACCGCCGTGCAAAGATGGAGAGAGCACAGAAGCAACCAGATGACGGGTGGCGAGCCTTAAATCCATTAAAGGAACCTCCCAGGATGAAGCATAAGACAACATTCGAATTAGTCGAGAATACAGACAAAAAGAAGAAGCTCGAGTTCAAGGTAATGAAATGTCGCCAAGAAGGTTGACTATGAGTAGCAATACTGACCAGCAACAGATTACCATCGATAGACACCCACCACCAGGGTTCGAATTCGTCCCTGTTGGCTATCCACAGTTGACGCAAATGTGCAAAGAACTATCTAGGGAACAAGATGCTATGATATTCATTGTTTCGGTATATAGGCCCGCTCTCCTTTGTGCGTGCCTTGTGATACTAACACATTTGTTTTAGGACTCCAAGAACCCGGACAACCTCGATCACCATGTTAACCGTGTCGGGTATCATTTTAGACAGATAATTGTTGACCAAGCTCGCTCGAAACTGACAGCTACTGGACAAAATGTCCACGTCCCCCCAGCCCATGCATCTGGCGCACCTGAACCGATACCTAAGAGCCAAGCGGAAATTGATGCTCAAGCAGATGCAGTCCTAAGGGATCTTTTCCCAAGAATACCTCATACCGACCGACGCGAAATTATCCAGCATGCCTTTCAAAAAGTCTGTCCATGTTTTCATATGTCGTTCTAGCAGTTGGATATGCTGATATTAACACTTGGTTTACAATATAGGATGGAAAATTCCATGGCGAGTCTAAAGTTGGCATGGTTAAAGAACTAACCCTAGCACGTAGGGTTCAACTCGCAGCAATTGCCCACATCAGACACAATCACACGCGCTATGATGAATTATTGAAGGAAACTAACTGGCACAACGCTCGAAGAGCTGTAGAAAAGCCGTGCCTGGACGTCATCGTCAAGTGGCGAGGTGACGAAGAGACCGGCCGTGACCAGCTTGACGAGATACTTCGTGAAGTCATTGAGATTTCTGATACCGAGGAGGAGTCCGAGGATGAATCTCCCAATGCAGAGTCTCTATCAGCCCGACGCGTTGTCACGATGCCCACTAATACATTGGCGAGCTCTAAGGCAGAACCACAAGGTAAAGATGTCGCTAACCCTGAGCGGCCGCCCCATTGTTCCAGTCACAGTCGCAGTCGCAGCCATGATCGCGACCTATCTGTTCCAGGCGTTCTTGGACCATCTAAGCAGAGAGCGATTGCAAAGGCCGAGAAGAGAAGCGCTCGAAAGACGCAGCGTTTTAGGAGATATGCCGCTGCTGCTGAAGCTCTTGCAGGTTCATCCGACCAGAGGGTGTATGCTGAGGACTCGAATGTGGCCCCTTTTGGTACTATTCCAATGGATTTTACCAGAAGTCCGGGTTCCACCCACCCTATTAGCTCGAGTCGCGAGCCAACAGTGGTGGCGCGTGGTACTCCTCGTATTGAACAGATGTCGCGTTATTCTGAATTGAGATCAGACCAGCAGCGTTTCAAAGGCGGCCCTCTGAGAGAGATGGCCACCATCACTCATGGTATTCCCGAAGCCGATGAATACGCTTCGCCTCAACTGATGAGCACTCCAGAAAGCCATAGGCCCAAAGTTGGGCACGCAACAGCAAGTCATGGTCGCCAATCGATTCCAGTTTCGCCAGTAAGAACCGGATTGCAAGATATGTTATTACAATCCATCGAGCCTGCGTCTCCTGTTGTCCACAGGGAGCCCCCTGAAGCTCCTCGAATGCTGTATAGTGAGCCTCAGCGCTTCGCGGAAGATCCTCGTGTCGTTTCTCGGTCTATTCACAACCATGCAGGTTTTGCTTCGTGTCCCGAATCTCCTAGAGTCGTGAGTCATGGTAATGTGATGGTAACAAGACGCCTTCATGGCGCAGACTATCCCTCCGGAACCCTTGATGCGTACCCCAATCCGTTTGCCCCAGCCAGCCATCAGGTTCAAGGTGAGGATCCACGACGTGTGCCATCTGGGTATTTTCCGGATCGGCCGTCGTCATCTTTTAGAGGGGCAGACCAAGCTCTATCCCAGAATCAGTCCTGGCCAGTTCCTAGTGAAGGGATGGTGCACTATAATGGTGATGTTTCTCTGAGGACCAGAGCAAACCCGATTATCATTGATGACGATGATCATATGCTTCACGGACCTCGTCAAGTAATTGAGGCGCAACGGCATCCCGGTAGAGATTACCCTGTTACACCGTTGGGGCAAGAAGGGTTCTTCCACGATGCCACCCGTCAAGGAGACGCGTACATCCGAGACGAGGCTCGAGTTGTATTAACTGATGCGCCGCCCACCCGGCCGAGAAGTGCGTTTGATTACCGCCGCCCTGGCAATCATCCCGGTCCCGGATTGACTTCGTATCACGAACCCGGCGTCTATAGAGTAGCAGCGCCAGAGTTGCGACGTCATGTAGTCGATGTCGCCCCTGGACCTGAAACAAGATACTACAGAGAGCGTAGCCAGCACTTGTACGAACCAAGAGAATGGCCTCGAAATGTGCCTCGAGAGGCTCGAGCTGTTCCTACTCGCCCCGAAGTGTAAGTTGACCAAGTCTATATAAAAGAGATGCGCTCTATTCATATTGCACACTTCCTCGAGTTCTTATGGGACTGCTTAACATAAGCTAATTTACATGTATAGGCGGTACCTAGACGATGATCGTCATTTTCAAGGATATTCGAATATTACATCAATTTCGCACCCTCAAGACCGACGAGAAACCCGTTACTATAGACTGGATGAGGCAATGTCGCCAACGTCGCAGCATATACACTATCAGCACGATTACCCCCCTCAACTTGTAGCCCCTCCTAACCATGGCCCCTATATGGAGAACCATGGATCACCGCATCGACATTATATTCCTGAACAACGCGTAGTCTGGGTGGATCGTTGATCTTCGTCGGAGTACTGACTCGAGATCAGTAGAGTAATAATTTGGCGACGAAATTCCTTTTTATAATTCCATTGTCAGAATCAACTGGCGGGTGGATGTGAAATGATATGGACGTTACGGCAAAGGTGGTATCGGTACGGTTCCAGTAGGACGGCAGCATTTGAGATACCCTCTTAGAGATTGGCATTATTGTCGCTTCTTTCGAACATGATTGCATGGCAAGGCGTTACCGGCACTCGCATCACGGCATTGAAGCATACAATCGGCAACATGATAGCCTCATCGGCTAGGTTAAGGAGTTTAAGGATTGCATACTTAGCTTTTGGCTAAACGAGCCTTTATTGTTTATTTGTTAGCTGGAATGGCATCCTTTGTTACGAGTATTGTACCTAGGTATATACAATTGCAGGAACACTATGGAACTCTGTCTCCGGGCAGACGAACAATACTCTTCATGTACTACTTAACGCGATTGAGATACATATCATGTGATAGACAACTATGTATGTGACTATCGATATTGATTAAGTTCTAGTTCTCGGGGGTTTTGCAAGGCAAGTTATGTCAAGTAACGTGGGATGGCTAAGGATCATTAGTTTCGTTCAGTTCTACTTGACTATCTCCCCCGGGACGAGACACCTGTATGAGATATGTACTACCTATGTTACATACCTAGGTAGGCTATGTACCATGGGAAAGTATTACAGTTATCAAGAATAGCAATCACTTTCAATATCATCCTTAGATTCATTCGTAACATCATCCTCACCACTATCGATTATTTTATTATATAGGTACACACACACACACACACACATACACACAGCCAGCCCCCTATTCCCACCCCATCTCCTTCAACGCCCTAAATTTACTCGAATGGCCATACGACACGCTCGGCTTAATCTTATTCAGCGCCGCCTCCCAGTCCTCGGGCGTAAGCACATCCGGCCCGCCCCTAGTGTCCGCGCGCTCGACAGCCGCCTGTCCCGCGGCGACGTGCAAGTTATCCAGGTCAGCGCCGCTGAAGCCGTCGCAGCGGGTGTCGCGGGCGACGGCCTCGAGGACGGGGTAGTCGGTGTACGACGGCAGCAAGCGCTTGATGCGGGTGCGCAGGATATCGACGCGGCCGTCGGGGTCGGGGAGGTCGACGAAGATGTTGGTGCCGAGGCGGCCGGGGCGCAGGATTGCGGGGTCGATCATGTCCGGGCGGTTGGTGGCGCCGACGACGTAGACGCCCAGGCGGCTGCCGATGCCGTCGAGCTCGGTGAGGAGCTGGTTGACGACGCGGGCGCTGGCGTCGGGCCCGTTGCCGTCGCGGCGGGGCACGAGGGCGTCGAGCTCGTCGAAGAAGAGGATGCAGGGGGCGGAGGCGCGGGCTCGGCTGAAGACCTGGCGGACGGAGCGTTCGGACTCGCCGACGTATTTGTTGAGGAGCTCGGGGCCCTTGACGGAGATGAAGTTGACTTTGGACTCGTTGGCGACGGCTTTGGCGAGGAGGGTCTTGCCGCAGCCGGGGGGGCCCCAGAGGAGCACGCCGGAGGGGGCTTCGAGGCCTTTGCTGGTGAAGCGTTCGGGGTCTTGGATGGGTTTTACGATGGATAGCATGAGCTGCTTGCGCACGTCGTGGAGGGCGCCGATGTGGGCCCAGGTCGTGTCGGGGATTGTTGTGAAGCCTTCTCGCTTGGAGGATGGCTGGACTTTGCCGATGGCGCTTAGCATGTGTTCCATTGTCAGCACGAGCGATTCGCTCGACACGGCTTCGTCGGGCGCTGCCATTATTGCTAGATGCAGCCGGAGCCCGGGAGATATTTGCTCGTCGGAATCAAGATCCATCTCTGCAGGGCCGGCCTGTGCTAGTTGGGTCATGGTCGCTCTGACCATTTCGTTTCTGGCGATGGAAACGACGTCCTTCAGATCGGCTCCTACGAAACCGGGCGTTCTCTTTGCCAGTAGTTTGTAGTCCAAGTCGGAGGAGACTCGGCCGTTCTGGAGCATCTTTCGTAAGATAGCTTCGCGAGCGCCCTCGTTTGGTATGCCAAGGCTTATTTCTCGATTGAAACGGCCTGCTCTTCGAAGGGCAGGATCAATACTGTCTGGTCGGTTCGTCGCAGCCAGCGTAACAACAATTTTGCCTCCGAGCTTGTGAGGCGACAAGTCGTCCATACAGGTTAGCATCTGGGCCACTATTCGCTTCTCCATTTCTCTCTGCGCATTTTCCCGCTTCCCCATGATGGCATCAATCTCATCGATGAAAATTAAGCAGGGCGCGAGAGATTTAGCCTCGTCGTAGAGCTCCCTGATCTTCCTTTCGGACTCTCCAGACATGCCGGCGACGAGAGAGGGGGCGGAAACGGGTATGTATGCTACGCCGAGCGACGCAGCATAAGCGTTTGCTAGCATGGTCTTTCCGCAGCCTGGAGGGCCATGCAATAGAACACCGCGAGTAGCTTCTAGGTCGTTATCGAGACAGATTTCGGGGAACCGCACGGGGAACGTGACTGATTCAGCAAGGACCTTAATGGCATCGTCCATGCCGCCGAGATCTTGCAAAGAAACACCGCTGGGTGGACTGCGATCTTCTTTAGGTTTCTCGGTTTTCCTTTTCTTGGGCCGGGACTCTCCGTTGGGCTGTCTGTCATTCATGATGACGACGGGTGCCATATCAGTCCCGGAACCATTACCGCCTGGGGTGGTTGCTTCAGATGGTACTGCCGGCTGAGCTTTGGGTATATTCCAGGATTTGGTGATGTTTTTGTTCAATACGAAATAGTCGCGTTCCTGTATATGTTAGCTTGAGTATCCAATGACAACCAAGTACTAGATATAAACCTGGAATTAGAAAATAATTATAATAATAGAATTACCTTAGCTTTTGGAGATTCCGCGGAGGCATCTTCCAAAACTTCCTCCTCGTCTTCGTCTTTCCTCTCTTCCTTCCGGAGGCGAAGGACTCGCTCGATGGAGTCTTCTAGCGGCCGTTTCTTTTGACGCGCAAGACTGGAATTTGAGCGTTTTATAGAATCGTAGACGCCCGAGACGGTGAATTTGAGTGGCTTTGAGGGGCTGTTCCGCTCATGATCATCTTCGAGCTTTCTGATAATCTGGTAGACATCACGGTCTAAGCCGTGAAGGGCCCTGGGCATTCTAAGTTTTAGTAATGAATTGGCCGCACTCAAATTGGTAAAAGTTGTAGTAATTAATCCTGTAAATTGCAAATGGGTTTATTCTATGGGTAACGATACGCTCTTTAATCGAGCCCAGTTATAGATGTCTAATGCCGGACGCCGCTGCTGTATGATATGAGTTATGAGTTATGAGATTTGAGATTTGAGATTCGAGATTCGAGATTTTGAGTTGTTGGATTTCTGAAAAGTTCAGCATATGAAAATAAAGTGGGGCGTCTTTTTTTTTATCTTAGTAAGCTTATATAAACCCCCCGTACCGGTGTTCCCAAGATTTTCGGAATTGTATTTTAAGCTTTTAAGCTTAATAAATGGCAAAAGCCAAAAGCCAAAAGCCAAAAGCCAAAAGCCAAAAAGCCTCCTTATTAAGAAACGCTCGGAATTAAAGTAAACAGTTTTCCACCTCCGACTACATCTTCCAATTCGCCTGTGCTACCTAACATTACCTAACATTAATGCTGTAACATATCAGCCAGCGCTCTCAAGTCATAGTTCTCCTTGTCGAAAGCCTTCTCTAATCTCCTGATCTCGGCCACCGTTTGCTGAAGGAGGTCGTTTAAAAGCGAACTCGTCCATTCTAGACTACCACATGCCCGAACCTGGTCGAGCACCAGTAGCTTTTGCTCCGTAGTCAGCCTGCCTTGTATTCGCCTCGTTGATAGCACACTTCCCAGCAGGAAACGTCCGGCATCATTCTGGAGGGCGTGGATCAAGATCAGCGAATATTTGCCTTCGTCCAAATCCTCGCAAAACCCCTTCTGGCTGGTGTACTTTGGTCAAGAGATAGTCAGTTCGCGTGTACTTCCGTTGCCCAAAACCGAGAGGACTTAGCTGAAGGGGAGCTTCGCATACATCGGCGTCAACTAGATTCATGTAATCGTCTCGAATCTGAAAGTACCTCCCAAAGACCGTAACCAACGCTCGAGTAGCTTTGTTGGGTTCCACACCCAAGTCTGCCCTGGCATGTGCTGCGAGGAGATGGCACGTCAATTTAAACAAGGCTCCAGTTTCTTCGGCCACCCCACCCCTGGTTAGCAGCCATGGACAACAAGAGGATGCGTGGGTAGAGAAACGTACTGTCATCAACCATCATCATATAATCTTGCACCGAAGGGCATCTGTCGTTGTATGTCCAATCCAGGTCCATAGCCTGGCCCTCGAATAAAGTCAAAATCATATCTGCAATGTCTTATAAGTCAAGGTGCTGACCAAGGAATAAGGAATAAGAGCGTCTCACCCGTAGCTTTTACGGCAGACGCCGACCCGAAAAAACTTTGGATTTCCGAAACCGCCTTGACAATGATATAGGCCGCCGAATTTATTGATTGGGCCGGCCCAAAAACCGTGTGCGTAGTCGGTTTTCCACGACGTAGGGTCGAGTTATCTTGGAAGTCGTCGAGTCTGGTTCATCTTAGTATACGTACATATTAGTATCGGAGGGCCTTTCAGAGACAGGCCGTAGTTACCCACATCAGAGAAGAGTTATGAAGCATGCTTATGACTCGTTTGATGACTATGACTGAGCCTTGGGGACAATCGAACCAAGTGTTCAGCGCGTCTATGAACTTTTCGCGGATGCACTTCGATGGTAGTGCAGATATGTAATCGTGCGGAGATTTGGCGATCTATCAGCTCGTTAATCGTCAGATCTCGATTCATTTTACGAATGGCTAGCTAGGCCGGGTTGGGTTGGGTAATGCTAACTACCTGCGTACCTGAGAGCGAGTCGACTTCCATTGGTTCTGGACTTCATCTGACACGATCAGTAGATCGCTTTGATGGGTCGTCTCTGAAATGGTCGTAGGAGGTGAGGAGTCCAGCGAGGCACCATTAGTTTGGAGAACACCCAAAGGGCACAGACTTCGATTAGAAGTCGTCATGGTTACAATTCCTATACAAAAAGGTATCCTACAAAAAGGTATCCCGGAGATGTATCGAACTAAGCTTCAAGCTGGGCCCTGGTTAACGTCGAGGCTTGTAAAGATTCTTGGACAAGTTGCCCAAAGAGGCAGAGTTTTAAAGAGTCTGATCTACTGTCCCGTTGCATGGTGCCAACTGTGGAAATAAGTGGCGTCTCGAATATGCAGACACGGCTCGGAGGCTTAAGCTAGCAGACTCTATGACCTGTGTCCGGGGGACGGTGAAGTCCGGAGATGGAGTTATGTCTAAAAGAAAAAGGAATTACCCGACCCTCTTCGCTAGTGATAAGGGAGCACTAGTATATCGTTATAGTCTATAGCATCCCGCTTCTCGATCATGTAGACATCCACCCCGGCACTAAAAACATTTATATTAGCCCAGCCGACGCAGCAGGAATCGGTGGCGTGATGCTATATTAAAGATTTCCGTGCCGGGTTAGGCTTATGGATCTCATCAGCTGAAACGCGACCCCTACGTTGTACGTTCACAAATCACATACTGCAGAGGCTGGCTGGTTGGCTCTTCGTGAAATGAATTTCCGGCTTCTGCCCGTCTAACACGCCACGTCCTGCAGGTAAATCGCCACGTAGAGCTTAGAGTCCGACCAGCATGTACGATAAGTTGGATAATGGCTTGACCTGTCTTGGAATTGATCTGACTTAGCTTGGGTAGATTGTGAATTTTGGGGGGGGGGTTCAATCATAGAACGGAACTGAGGGTATACCTACCTAGGTAGGTATGTATATATTTTTGATGTAATATGATTGGTCTATTTTATGTGGCTGGTGTGGCTAGAGGTGTGGCTTTATAAGAGCTTTCAACCTCAATCTAAGTTAATATATTTGACTTGATTCATGATTCATGATTCAGAGGCGGTTAAGCTTATACAGTTATTTGGCCTGACTTGAGTTACCGTGGACGAGAAGAGAGTGTATTTTAGATTAGTTATATGAAAGCTAATCTACGTTACAAGTAACTAGATATTGGAAAAAAAGAAATGATAGTCTATCTTCACCATATAAGGAACAGTTCGTTCGTGTGTGCTAACAGGTGGACAGCGTAGCCAGCCACCTATGTATGTCCATTTGGACCCATTTGGGCTTGATTCAAAGTTGCCTGCCTGGTTGATTATTCGGCAAGAAGGTTTCCATCCGATGTGCTTGTTTTATAGTGCAAGCGAGATATCAAACCAGTGTCGGGATCGAAGAACTTGAGAAACCCCTCGTAAGATAGGAGATCTAGTCCGCACTCGCAGCGAATGTCTCCATTACTAGCCCCAATGCTTAGATAGGAAAACTCAACGTGCATCTGTTCTTCCAGAGCGTCATTGTCGCCTTCGTCCAGTGCTTGTCTCAGCATCGACCACGTATCATGTCCTCGAGGCTTTGAATCGCACGTGCAACCCCAATAGGACGGCTTGATGATCGACGCAACCCTGTCAAAGAGCTCTCCGTATGTATCGTCAGACCGGTTGGCCATTGGATAGTGCTCTTCCACCAAAGCTACCAGCTCGGCGACTTCGACTGGGCTACTGAATTCCCGACCGCGTACGCTAATCGCCTCGTAGAGTTTGAACTGCTTGGATGTGTTGTAACGCCAAGTCATAGTAAAATAGGCACAGACTCCCAAAACAGCGGTCACCATGTCAAAGTCCTCATGGGCATAGGCGGCCTCGACAATGCGAAGCAACAAATAAGAAGCATCGACGACCTGCTGCGCACTAGTGAGACCCCGGATAAGGTTGTTTGTCTCCCCTCCCAAAACATCGCGCTCGTAGTCTTGAAGGTCGTTGGGCACGCAGAGAACCCATGCCAGAATGTAGCCGCGATCCGAGGTAAGAGGCTGTCCAACTAGGTGCCTTGAAATATACTCTCCGCCTCTATCTAGGAACAGAGGATATTGGGTTTTGCGGTCCGCGAAGTTATCCGCCTTATAATCTCCCGCGACTAAATTCTGTACCCGCTGGACCTCGCGTCGGAAAATCTCCCGCATGTCTTTGATGACCCCTTCTGTAAAGAGACTGTGTACATCATTTGGAGTGTCAAGCCATATCCACTCGGCTGCGGTGACCCATGGTTTTTCGCGAGCACGCCAGAGCTTGCGATTAGTGCCATAATCGATGATTGTGGTGAAGAGGCCAAGGAGGATTTCGAAGTGAAAGCCAGGGCGCCAGCGTCCATCACGGGTGCCCAGGCTGGACCAACCATGCCAAGTCACCCAGATTTCGAGATCGCCAATCTCGAAGTATCCGCCTGGTTCCTGGTCGCATCGATCCTGGCCATTCCCGAGTATCTCATCGCCGCTGTCGCGCTTCATAACGACACCGGTTTCGGTAACGCCGGCACGTCCGCCTGCGCCATTGCCGAGAACCTTGCGTTGTTCGTCGGATTTTGCGTCATCTTTAGACGCACTTTTGGCAATGGCCTTTTGGAGAAAGGACAGCATCGTGTCGAGTTCCGCTTGTTTAACCAATGGTCCTCCGCCCGCTTGCTCCGCTGTCTGATCATGGGCACTCGTGTTGTTCGACAACTTTAGAACATGTTCTGCCCATAGATTTCGTAGCCGCTTTAGATTCCTATCCCCGGCAGAGGGAATTCCAGAAATTCTGAAACCATCGAACATAACATGGCTGCCAAACACGCAATAGAGTCCCGGCTCTAGACGCTCGCGGGTCCTTCGGCTCCAACGTCCTAAGCATTGCTGGCCGTTGAAAGATCCGCAGCAATTGATAAAGTGCCTAGCGGTACCAATATCTTTACAGATGGTATCGGTCCACGAATGAATGAATCCGACACCATCATTCTTCTGACCTGGGCCCCAGGCTGGGACCCGAGCAGGGAAGGGATCTTCGCATAGCTCGCTACGAACCCTGGGGATGACAGTGTCGAGAGAACCCATGTTCAGCAAACTGTTTCAATGTCGAGCTGCGCTATAGTAAAAAATGGTAAGAAGGGACTAGTGGCAACGGACGTGATCTAGGATAGAGTCTCATAATAGTTGGATATTCTCATAACCAGTAGATTTATATCACCCGTGGTTCCACAGAGCCTTTGTATAGTATCACCGCTCATGGCACCCTCCGGCTAACGAGGCAACAATACAGGGAGGATCATGAGCGTCCTATCCTTGGAATCAAGGAATAATTGATTTGTTACACCTAATTCATTTCGTAGTGGGGAATCGCTGCATGAAGCTAAGATAGTATCACGGTGTAAATGAGTTATACGAGCCGTGCCGCGCGGCATGGCCCGTAAGGGCCTTAGCCGAATACACTATATGGTATCGTAGTCACGGGCTGACTGATTGATAGCTCCGGAGTTTTTTTTTTTTTTTTTTTTTTTTTTTGGAGTTTTGATGTATGTGGCGCGATTTGTTTAATCTCTAGGCTTTTAATAACCGGAAATTTCCTCGAGCTGGCTGGTCGATAACATCGGAGCGTTTAGGGGGCTTGATGTATGCGGCACGGAAGCAGCCGTTTCGAAGCAACGAATATATGATTCGTCCAATCTCTAGGCTTTTAATAATTTGAAAGTTTCCCGAACCGGCCGATCGATAGCGTCGGAGTTTCGAGGGGTTTCGATAGGTATGTATGTTTTATTGCTTTGTATGAGGCTACTTTGAAGATACGGAAGCAGCCGTTTTGCGGCAACAAACATATAATTCATTTGAGTTTTAACCAGGTCTTTAATGAACTGAAAGTTTTCCGAGCTGGCTGATCGATAGCTTCGGGGTTTTCAGGAGTTTCGTAACCCCTTAAATATAAATGTTCTGCTGTCACGTCAGTAACCAGTAAGCTTTCCACCCTTACACTGCTTAATCTTCCCATCTTTCACACCGAACGGTCTTACTAAAGCTATACGCATACTGAAGATATGTCTCCACTCAATCATGATGGCCTCGTGGCTCATCTGAAGGCCCTGATAGCAAGCTGCAACTACCAAATTGCAACAGAGCTTCTGGGTCTTCTGTTAACAATCGTAAGGCAACTTTCCATGAATCGAACTGTTCGATTGAGAAGCTCCGTTCCTAATAGCCAGTTCCAGTCCCTCGGGTATAACCTCGCATTGGGGATCTACCGCATCTGGTTCCATCCTCTGTCACGATTCCCTGGCCCTATGCTCCTATCCGCCTTTTACTTCCCATACCTGTATAGAAGTTTGATTAAAGGATCCTGGGTTAGACAAGTGCCAGCCCTCCACCAGAGATATGGCCCTGTCGTGAGGATTGCTCCTGATCATCTGGCCATTGACGGTGCCGTGGCATGGCCCGAAATATATGCCCACCGGCCGAATACAAAACCGGAGTTCGGCAGACCAGCCGGCCTTCTATTCCCGGGTGATGAGTTATGCATCCTAGGAGCACCTCGCGAGGCTCACCGCCGCATGCGCCGGCAGCTATCCCTTGCTTTTAGTGATAGCGCCTTGAGCGAGCAGGAAGCGACTATTAGTAGGTTTGTCGGCATGCTGCTTGATAAAATTGAGGTACACAGCCAAGGAGGCAAATATGTCGACATTGTAGAGTGGCTAAACTTCGCCGTGTTCGACGTCGTGGGTGATTTGGCCCTTAGCGACTCGTTTCACAGCTTGGAGAATAACGCGTACCATCCCTGGGTTCACTCAATATTCCTTGGCATTCGCGGAACCCAGTTAGCAAGGTTCCTAGGGAGCTATTCGTTCCTGAAAGTTTTCTTGGGCATATTCAGTATTAGCTCAATCAGTGCAAAGGACCACAGTCGCATGGCTGCAGTTGAGAAGACGATAACTAGGATGGGCCAAGGTGCCGAGTCAAAGTCAGGCCGGCGCGACTTTGTGGCGTACATGATGCAAGAAACGCGATCGGGAGAACCAGGAATGTCGGAGCAAGAAATAATAGCGACAACTCCCATTCTGATAATCGCAGGTAGTGAGACGACGGGGTCGGCTCTATCAGGGCTTTTCTTCTACCTCTCGCAGAACCCTTTCGCATACAATGCTCTTGCTGACGAAGTCCGTTCCGCCTTTCGCAGCGAGGCCGATATCACCTTTCGTAGCACCGCTCCGCTCGAATATCTAAGCGCTTGTATCGACGAGACTCTACGAGTCTACCCGCCGGCCGCCGAGACATTGCCACGCATATCGCCGGGAGATTTCGTGCAGGACAAGTATATTCCAAAAGGGGTACGTTTTTCTCAATTCCTCACCAGCCCAACCCGGTTCCGTTTACTAAATGTGCTACAGACTCGCATCTCAGTTTGCGCGTGGGCCACGTTCCGAAATCCTCAGTACTTTTTCCAGCCTGATACATTCAGTCCACAGCGCTGGCTTTCGCCTTCCCATCCGCTGTACGAAACAAAGTTCAGCGGAGACAATCGGGAGGCGTTTAAGCCATTCAGCTTTGGCACTCGGGACTGTCTTGGCAAAAACCTAGCGTATGCGGAAATGCGACTGATCGCTGCTCGATTGATATACCGCTTCGATTACAAGGTCATGCCCAATCAAGAGAGCTGGCATGATCAACAACGCACGTATCTTGGGTGGGAGAAGGGTCCGCTCAATGTCCAGCTGCATCGAAGGATTGATGCGTGAGCGGCAAGCGGCTGAGGTTATCAGCAACCAGAAACCCTTAACCAGAAACCCTTAACCAGAAACCATTATCAAAAATACCAAATCCCATCTACACTTGAATATGTGGCAGAGTAGTATGGTCAAGCATGCTGTTGTGTATAGAAAAGAGGTTCATTAGAAATAGATATACTTGTAAAGTATAAACAAAGATGGTTCCTCCAATTGTAGCTCTCCGGGTCAAAGTTAAAATTGATACTGTCTTAACTTTAAGCTGGGAATGCCGAGGCGGCTTAGATGTGCGTCATTAGGCACTTACCGATAAAGACGCGCAGCAAGCACCCCTGCAATCGATAAGATAATCCCTACATACACTAGGTACCTAAGGTACATACACTAGAAGATGGGACGCCCGCCGAGCTTAGCTCGTGACAACATCGACACCCTTCTCTCTCCTATACATATACCAATAGTACACCTCACATGCTCAACAAAATCGCATCATCGTTTATTCTACGAACCAGGCTGCCCTGAAAAGGCATTTGCCTGACCATCGTTCTTCCACCGATCCTCGCTATTGCTAGACAATGCGCGCTTCGGATTCCACAGCAGATTCCAGGGCACGGCGATCATGGGCAACAATTCGAGCAGAGTGACCGCCCAGGACAAGTAAGACTTCCCCCTTTCCACTCCCCTATCAACTGACATCTTCCATCCTATCGCCGACACAAATACTAACCTCCCAACTTCCGCAGGGCGATCCTCGACCTCAAACTACAGCGCGATAAGCTGCACCAATACCAGCGGCGCATCACGGTCCTAACAGATAAGGAGACGGCCGTGGCGCGACAGATGCTAGCGGCCGGCGACAAGAAGCGCGCCCTGCTAGCACTGCGCCGGAAGAAGTACCAAGAGTCGCTACTCGAGAAGACCGACGCCCAGCTCGCCCAGCTAGAGCAGTTGACCCGCAGCGTCGAGTTCGCGCTCATCCAGAAGGACGTCGTGTTCGGTCTGCAGCAGGGCACGCGGGTCCTGCGCGACATCCACGCCGAGATGGGCGGCATCGAGCACGTCGAGAAGCTTATGGGCGACACGGCGGACGCTATTGCTTACCAGAAGGTACACACCAGCCCGCCTTCTATCCCCCTCCCCCGAGATATTATTATATTATTGCTTTTATAACATACCGCATACATACATACATACCTACCTACCTACGTGTACTAACGGCTTCGGCTTTTCTACTGTACAGGAGGTAAGCGAAATGCTAGGCGGCAGAATTACAAACCAGGACGAGGACGAGGTCGAAGACGAATTAGCCGCCCTCGAGCAGGAAGTCAACGGCCCGGCGAAACTACCCAACGTGCCGGATACCAAGATACCCCCGCCAAAGATCAAAGATGCGGTGCCGCAGGAGCAGGAACCGGAGCAAGAACCCGAGTTGGAGAGGAGAGCTATGCTCGCTGCATAATACGAGCGCGAGCGGTGGATACAGCAAGAGAGCGGATGAATACAATATTTTCAACTGCATAATGAATCGTTGGTGGAAACTAGAAGACGCGTTTTGGATCTGGATATCCAGGATAGAGTAGTGTGTATAGTATATTGGATATTAGTCCCCCTTTTTTGAAGCAGCACGGGATCGCAATTCCTCTCGTTGGTAAATGGACGTTTCCCCGGTGTAGAGCGAAGGAAGAAGATATAGATGAGCTAGGTAGCATCACAAACACGGACAGCTAGGGTATACGTAGTGAGCTGTGCAATTGCATAAATAGACAATACGAGTTTACTTACCCTTTTGTATTATATGTACTTTTTTTCCTATGTACTAATGGCTCAAGTGGAAATGTGAGTCTAGATACATTCGAGTGTTCGAATGACGTCGTTTATAGGTACAATTGCCCTTTTCTGGATCAAAAGCTCCGAGTACGGAGAATATCGCATCTTCTTGAACACTATCGTGTATATGTACCTAATGAGTATGAATACATACCCGCGCCCCTGAATATCCAACTCCAGCAAGAAACCATCCACTCTGTCTAATAGCGTCCCTACTAGCCTATTACTATTACTATGTAAACAGCGAAAATGCTGACAACAATTCAATGCAACCTCATTGGCCAATGGCCCATATCCACCTAGTTACGCACAATTTCTTGTAAATCCAGCATGCAACTACGTCATGAAGATTATCACAAGTCTACGCAAAACCATGGCAGAAGTAACATTCCACACAGAAAACGGGGGCAACGCGATAGATCTAAGAGGGGGACATTTTCGTCTATGTTCAATTACTGGCGACAGATTATATTATCCGATCCAAGCCTTCCTGCAGAAGCCTGAACTCCTAGCACTCCGACCGGGTTGTGTATAATGCTGGAAAAGAGGAGATGGATATATGTGATCTAGCACCGACGCGGGTGCCGCAACGCAACGGTCTAGTAGTCTATAAGTACACAACTGGCCGATCCTGTCTATGCTATGATGGTATTGGTACACGTCTTTCTCGTAACTTCGTTTATGCCGTAGATTCCTTGAGGAAACTGTAACAGGATTAGTATACAAGCCTCCAAGTTATTTCAAGTAGAGAAAAACTCACGTAATGAGGTCGTTTCGGTCCTTCTCCTTCTTTAGACCACCGAACGCCATCTTGGTACCGGGGATGTACTTCTTGGGGTTCTCGAGGTAGTCGAACTAAACAAAATGTCAGCAGAGTCGCTTTAACTGGTACCGCCTAAATATTACATACCAGACTGCTCTCGTCCCAGGTGACACCCTTCTGCTTGTTGGCGTCTGTGTAGGAGAAACCCTCAACCTGACCACTCTTTCGGCCGAAGAGACCGTGTAGAGCAGGGCCGACCTTGTTGCCCTCACCCTCCTTCAGGGTATGGCATTGCGCACATCGGGTCTTGAAGAGGTTGGCACCCTTCTTGGAGTCACCTAAGGAAATTGTAACGTTAGTTAAAGTGCTTGACCATAATATGTGCGCTGCTCGTGTCTAGTCACAACCAGCACGCCAGTCTAGGAGAGCCGGTTCGTAGCAAAACTAAAGGCTACCCGCGTCTCCTAGACCTTGTGCGACTGCATAATAACAACCCTCAACGCCACCAGGTAAAATAGCGCACGCAACTGCGATATCCCAGGCACCGAGTCCCAAAACACAGTAAGCACACAGGTGAGCAGCCAATATGATAGAACTAGAGATATTATATCCCAGACACTAATCGCAGTCGTCCTGGCGCTGGTGGTGGCTCAATGGCTCGAAAGGCGGTGACGTGTGGGCTGTCATGCGGCAGGAAAAAATCAAGCAAGATGTAAGGGAGTTCGTGTGTGTGTGTGTGTGTACATACCGGCAGAGAAACCCATGTTGTCGTGGGAAAGTAGGGAAGTGAAGGAATAATTATTACTTTATTAATGCGTGAGAGTACGCAGGTCAAACTGTTCCGTTTGTAGAAAAAGAAGGTGGCCGTCTAAATAGCGAGGTTTATGGGACGGGAGAAAGGGAAAGGGAGAAAAAAAATCGGCGCATGCTGGGAATTTTTAAAGCGATGAGCTCAGCGAGCATGGGCAGGCATAGGCTTTCGGCAAGGTGGTACGGAAAGTTGAGCCACTTTGTGGCGCGTGCACCTTCCTTTTGGCCAATAGGGTTTTAGCTGAAGTAATACGCTTCCGGGGAAAGCCGATTCTACAGCCCTTTTAGGCTTCTTTTTTTTCCACTGGAGCGGCTCGATTCCACTCGATTCACCAACTAAGAAAATTGGGGCTACGGGTTGGCCAGTGACAAAGGACGAATCTCGGAATTGATTAGGTTAACCTACATGTACCTACCTACATACCAAGGTACATTATGGTGGAAAACTTGGGAAATTTTTCGTCAAACCCACTATAAGCTTGTAGGCTTACCTATCATTTATATCAACGTGGTAATTCAGGTACAGTTGTAAGACCATGTTCTCGAGTCTTTTGATGGATGAAAAGGTACAAAGATGAGCTGTCCAGACCCTCAAGGATATTTTCATACATTCCATCTTTAGATTTTAGATGTAACTAGGTATTGTAAGTATGTATGAGGTAACTAGTGATATTATCTTGTTTCGGTACTTACCTACTTTTGCCTTTGGTCTGGGTCAAGTTCTTTAATCAAGTTCTTTATGTATCAGCCATCACTGGAGATCTACAAAGCCCTTGCATTTCCCCATTGTGTCGTCATGACGCTAAATCCACGCGTGTCGATGCATCTAAACTCGGCCTTAGATCGAGACAGGCGGTTGGCTCTCTCAGGCAACATCAGATGGTGGTCTCCTATGGACTGAACCTATGGAGATCGAGTGGTGAAGGTAAGAACCAACCAGCCGAGCTGCCGGAGGCTGCCCGGAGAGGAGGCTACTTCAAGGTGAGAGAATAACAAGAAGAATATGGAAACATTTCGTCAATGCATTGCGGTTGAGCTGTTTATAGGGTGGTTGTCATGGACAAGTTACGTGCTCGTCATTTTAATAAGACAACGCAAAAAGCCATAACTAACTATTAGTAAGGGCATCAGTTTATTCTGAGTTGAGGAATAGATGAATTTAACAATGGCTTGCAATTTTTAAACATAACAGCCGTAAATAAATAAAGACTTAACTATATCTTAATAATATGAAAAGAGATCCAACCTAGACTTTTGTGGTAGTCAGTCTATGGTATGTAGTTGTAGCTGGAGTGTTTGTATTATCTAGGTTACATAGTTAATGCATGCATAAAGTTGTAGCTTGTCTGATTAGTCATACCACCTTCAGCTGTCCATGCCATGTGAAACCCATTTCGGGAATTTCAACCGGCCACCGGCCCCCGGCCGCATGGATCGGGAAGAAAAAAAAGAGACTTCGCCGGATTGAACCGTAGGTTAAAAGATTGCAGGTAAGTACGATTGATAATTTTAAGACTTTGCGCTCCAACTCGTATGTATAATACTTTTTTACACTGCAACATGCCTACCTAGGTACCTATAGTCAACGGGCCAATTGACACAAACCAAGCTCGCAAACTGATCATTCAGCAGTCCAGTCCAGTACAGTGCAGTGCAGTGCAGCACAGCAAATCCTTCTTCTAAAAAATTTCCCACCACCGTTCAAAGCTAGGAAGACCCCGCGATGGCTTCCAAGACAACCTACATCCCGCGGTATCTGCTACCTCAATACGGCGCGCTATGGCGCACAGCAGCTTTTGCGAGAGCTCCCCTCAACGCTGAGCTGGGACAGGTGCTAGTGCGCTATACCTCTAAGACTGCAGCGAGGGCATCTTCGACCAAACCTAGCCACAACTCGCCCGCCGCTAAAGCTGCTAAGCACTCGGCGCCGACGAAGCCCTTGCCGAAGACTGCGGCTACCAAGGCTGCTCCTATAACTAAAGAAGTCCCTCCGGAGACCCAAGCACCCGCAACAAAGCCGGGCACGCCCCCCAAGCCCGACCCTTCAAAGCCCATCGTGCTCGAAAAGCCTGAGCGATTCAACCCCCCCTCCCACGGCGCACGGCTAGCGAGATCGACCCCAAAGCACTACGGAGGCCCCATGACAGACGCAGAGCTCCAAGCCCAGTCCGCAAAAGCGTACCCGGGCCTGCCGCCTCCAGAGAACACATGGACGCACTGGTTCATCCACAGCCGAGGGATTCACTTATTTATCACCTTGGTAAGTTCCCCACCACCTAACGTCTTTCGATCTACCTACCAGGTATCTAACTACATCTTCAGGGCACCCTCACGTCCCTAGCCATCTACACCTTCATCGCCAACTTCAACAACAAATCCCCCTTCGCAGACCTGATCCCGCCCATCTCCGAGTTCCCCCGGCACCCCTTCCAGTACATCGGCGTCGTGATCGACGTCATGCGCATGCACGAGAAGCACCAGTCCGCCCTGACGGCCGAGAAGCGCCGCCGCAAAGTCGACGACGTCGCTAAGAGGAACGAGTACCGCAAGGCGCATGGCATAGAGCCCGCCCAGGGATTCTGGGCCAGCAGCGATAGTAGCAGCAGCAAGCCCGCTGAGCCGGAGACTACCGAACCGGTCCCGATCGTCGAGTCTGCTGCGCCCGAGCCAAATCCAGCAGCAGCTGAGTTGACCCCGGACGGCAAGCGCAAGAAGTTCCTCGGAATATTTTAAGCATGGGGATGAATGGAAGTACGAAGGCGCGCGGAGGAAGAAAGTACCCGTTACTTATCAGGCGTATGGCCAGCACGGGCTCTGCTTCCCCTAGAATATTCAGAATCTCCTTCTCTGCTCCGGAACAAGGCAGGTATTAATTTCATGGTATCGTCATTTCGCGATAAAAGCTATCCCAAGTCGACCGCGTCTAGACCGTCTAATACCTCGTCCGCTATACCCCCTTTCTCTAGTACCTTTTGCACCATGGCCCCAAGGACGGCCACCTTAGTTCCTCCCCTCGGCGCCTTCCACACGCCTTCCACGTCGTCCGTCTCTGCCGCACGGGCCCCTGGGTCCTTGGCTGCCGGCACGCCCTGTCCCCACGCTGCTGCGTTCACCGCGTTAGGTACTCCTGGCGCCGTTAACCGCGAGGGTGGGTCTATCGTTCGCACCGACAATAGTCGCAAGTGTCTACCCGTCTGTAGTTCGCCATCTACGTCCATCGTTTCCGACGCCTCGTCACTAGATACATTCCTCTCGCCCACCGAGACCGCGAGCGCCGAGTCTGCGACAGCTAATTCCTCTTTCGACGGGTCAAAAATGATATTGTCGCCTACAGCCATAACTAGCAGGGTGACGGGCGGTCGCGAACGAACCGTAGCGGACGTTGTATCGCTGCCCTGCCGCGGATATATGAATTGCGAGGCGTCCCAGTCATCGTCGAACATGGGATCCTCGTCTGCTTCAGATTTTAACCCGGGTAGGCGGGTGGAGAGCAGCGCGAGATGCGTCGTTAGGCTAAGGAGGGGTAGCGGGTATGATAGTGGCGGGGAGATGAGGATGATCTGTTCAAGGTATATATCAGCATCGTGTATCAATATATCATATCCGCTTTAATTGGGTCGCGTGATGTCTTGCGTAGCTGTAGAGGGATGTATATAGAACTTACATCAATATATAGCTTCCAGTGGAATCGTCGGTTGATCCACAACTTCTTGGTGAACTCGCCGTCGGCCAGCAACGCCTCGCTCAGCATCGTAGCTAAGAACACAGTGCTGCTGTCGTCGTCCCTGTACCCGGGGACCTCAACCGTGATCTCGACCCAGTCGTTCTCGCCCGCCACTGCATCCTCCCCATCCAGCCCGCCGTCTTCTTGCATCTGCTCATCCCGAGCCTCCCCCCCCTTGCGCCGCAGCTCCTTGTTCTCGTAGTACACGCGGCTAAGCGGCAGGACGCGGCGCTTCTCGACCTCGGCCTTCACGCCGACGACTGCCTCGGTGCCGTCTGCGAAACACACGCGCGCGCTGCCGTTGGCGGCGGGCAGGATCCCGGTCTCGGCTGTGAGCGGGCGGAATTGGGCTGCGGTGCGGCCGTCGGGGCGGACGGGGGGCGCGAGGGACAGGGCGGTGTGCAGGTAGGCTAGCTCGGCGGGCGAGAGGAGGAGGTGCTGCGCTGTGGATGATGATGATGATGCCATGGTTGTATGTTGTTTGCGGGGGGGTAAAGAGGGAAAACAGAGAGGGAAAGGGGATGGCCCCTGGATAGATTAGGTGGGGAGTCGAATTTCTACGTATTCGGACTTGTCTATCCTCTCGTCTAGAGCGTAGGTAACTAACTAGTTAGTCTAGTAGTATTGGAGTTTCCATGGAAGTCGTGTGCCTGCTTGCTCGTACCGTCGTATTACATGGATATTTCCGTCCGCGAGGCTGAGGCGGGAGATTTTTTTTGAGCTGGAAGCTCCAAGTTTGGTGGGGAGGAGTGAGTAGAGATTATTGGCTGGAGCTGGCGGTGGGGTGCTACCTACCTAGGATCAGTAAGGCTTTGAGGTAGGGGTTGCTTATCGATAGCTCATCCACCGAGCAGTTTATCGATAGCTTATTAACCGAGCAGTATGCTATGTATGCAATAATATAGTGGTATTTGTTTTATATGCGAGCTCTTTAGTGATTCGGGGACATATGTATCTCTAGCATTTCCCTGCGGCGCAACACCAGCGCCGACTCCAAGCCACGTAGGAATTGGTATCGTGGATAGCGCCGTGAAGCCGTCCCGTCCAATGGGGTTTATCAATGGATTTATCTTAAACGAACCCAATATTCTTTTGTCTGCCATGTCTAGCCCCGGCTTCAGCTAACAATTAAATAAGCAGGATCCGTAGGAAAGCTTGAAAAGTCTCCGGGACAGAGTCGTGGAACCAATTTCTCGAGTTGCTTCCAATGGAATAGCTGGTGGCAGGGCCCACGATATGTGCCAGGCCCTTCGGCGGCTGATAAATAAATAGATGCCATAGTGTTCTCTGATGTTCTCTGAATAAGACGTATCGTTTCTCGTCGTGTCCTACTTTATATATCTTAACCTTGGACAGTAACTTCTTAGTTTCTTTAAGTGATCACTATCCCCCCCTAGCTATCCTTACACCTTACCGCACAAGCACTACACCATACCATACCAGACACAATGAGTGGCATGCTCTACCAAGCCTACATGAAATGGCACCCCATCCCTCTCCCACCGGCCGACAGCTTCAAAGACCAAGCCGTCCTAGTAACCGGCGGAACCAGCGGCCTAGGTCTCGCAGCCGCCGTGCACTTCGTCAACCTAGGCGCATCCGAAGTCATAATAACAAGCCGCGACGCATCTCGCGCCAAAGCCGCTCTCGAAACCATAGAAAAGGAGACAAAGGGTCGCAGTAGAGATCGCGTCCGCGTCTTAGATCTCGACATGAGCCGCTATGCCTCGGTCGTCGCGTTCGCGCAGGAAGTTAAGAAAGTCAGGGCGGGAAAGGGGGGCATCGACTTCGCGGTGTTGAATGCCGGTATTGTTAGCATGGAGTTTATGCTTGGCGAGGAAGGATGGTAAGACTCTTCTCCTTTGCGGCTTCATAGGACTATGCATTTGTTCATCAGATACAAGTGATAATCCACCTTGTGTGCCTACCTACCTGTTAACTAACCAGTACACAAACACAGGGATCAGAACATCCAAACCAACGCCTTAAGCACAGCGCTCCTAGGCTTTCTCCTCCTGCGGTGGATGAAGACGGAGCGTCCTAACCGCTCAACGCCCGCACATCTAGCCGCGGTCGGGTCATCACAGCACTTAGCCCCAAACATCAAAGACTGGACAAAATGGGCCTCAGAAACCGGCATCCTGGAGCACTTCAACAAACCCGAGAACTGGCCAGGGTCTAACTCCATGTACGGCGCCACCAAGCTTCTGGCGCAATATGCCGTAAACGAGCTGGCCCAGATGGCACTGGGTCCGGATGGACGGTGAGTTCCCTCCTCCTGCTTCCCCCTTCCGCTGCAAACATATGTCAGCTAACACCAACACCCTGTCCCCAGCCCAGAAGTCATCATAAACACCATGTGCCCCGGTATCGTGAGGTCTGACTTGCCGCGACAGTTCATAGACCAGAGCGTAGGCTACCGCATCTTCATCGCGATATACCTCGGCATATTCGGCAAGACTCCCGAGAACGGCGCGAGGACGTACCTGGCGACCGGGTTGACTAAGGAGAACGAACATGTAAGCAAGATTTCTCTTCTTCTTCGTCTTTACTATTTACCTGCAAGTAGGTTCGGCTAGCTGACATCATGTGGTTCAACGTACAGGGCAAATATATCCGGTTCTACGGTTCCGAGGCCGAGTATCGAAAGTAAGTCTAAACTTAAGGATTGATTGTTGTGCTGGTATGGCTAACCCGGAGCGTAGAAAAGCAGATATATTATTGACAGGAGAGGCTGGCAGGGAAATGCAAGCTCAAGTCTGGTCAGAGATGAAGGCTGACTTGATCGCCAAAATTCCTAACGCGAAGGAAGTGTTAGGATTATAGATGCCGTAGCTAGTCTAAGTTTGTAGGAATTAGCCTTGTTGTGACACTGTTAGACTAGGATAATGTAAGATATTCACTATAAGTCAGGCCCAAGGTAGAAGGGTGTTTACCTGCATCTATTATCAATTTTAACAAAGCCAGTCGCCTTTCTATGTTACTATAGCTGTAGATCGAATCTAGGCTGTGAAATATGTTCATGTGAACCTATCTTGTATTCGTAACCTTGCGTCTTACTCTCTCGAGTAGCATCCTCAGTGAAAGCCTTGTATTCCTCGCCCAAGCTCGATAGTAAGCACGAAAACCGAGGCCTCCTAGGCTTTTAGGATTTTCGAAAGTCCAAGCACAAATCGTGTATGTAGTCCGGACCGACCGCTGCTACTAATTCTGCAACCATTGCTTTCGCTGATCCCTTTTTGTCGATACTTTCGTTGTGCCATTCGAATAGATCACCAGCATAGAAATATCCTCGCCTAAGGCGTACTGCAATATGATCCAAGTCTATCGAGTTCATTTCATCCACTGATGGGATCCCTGGCATATTACTGCTGAAGAGGGGGTGGTCTTCATCTTCTTCTTCTTCATCATCGTCCTCGTGTAGCATCTCATATCCATCTTCTTCGATTTCCATCGGCAGAGTGACCTCTGTAGCTTGGGCATGCTTTTCAGCATCTTTCTCGGATCTTTCGAAGTCTAAGTACCCATGGCTGTCGAACTTTCTGAGGATACTCTGTTCAAGGTCTACCCATTCTAACGTGTCTGGGTTGAGGATTTGTTGCGGGGAGAAGTCGATCTTGTATTTCATCTTCGGGCATGTGTGTATATAAAAGCCAGCATACCACCATCTACACTTCTATTAGCAGGTCTCCTTGAACCTCGACGTTCAATTGTCTCAGTTTTTCTTGCCACAAAAGGGGTTGCCTAAGATGTGTAGTTGCATGAAGAACGGGATTAGATATTTTTAGAGTGGGCAAGAGTAATTCGAAAATGGATTTGCAAGCTACAATAAAGTGCTAGTCCGTACGTACCGATAACCTTCTTTTATTGCGAGGGCAATCTCCCGTAAAGCCCCAAGCTTCCCAGGACTAAACCTGTGAATAGACTCATGGTATAAAAAGTAGACACCGCTAACACAGTCTGGAAGAAGGTCTAGGACTCCTATCGCTACTAACTTACCGTCGAGCCTGTAGCACTGATGAAATGAACCGACTTGACGTTCTCGTCCGTCTGGCGCTGTATACTTCCCGCGCCTCAACGGCGAAGTGCAGAGAAATCTCTTAAAGCCGTCGCGAGAGATAGATGATGGAGATTCTTGGTGAACAACCTGTTGATAGTTTTCATAAACCAGAAATTTCTCCTCGGTAAAATCATCAGGCTCTAGCGTAACGGAAAAGGCGTGAGCTGGCTCGGGGGGGCGTTCTAGCAACAGGCTCTCGCATTCATGGATCCTCTCTACTAAGTCAAACTCGGTATCTCGCTTCCGAGCCTGCTCGCGCGACTTCGGATGTAAGCGAGCTGCTTCCTTTGAGTAAGCATCTCCTACGACGTACTTATTGAAGCGGTTGACGGCTTGCCGTTGATCTCTCGTCGTCCGAAAACGGGCGGAATCGAGGCGAATAGAATAATGCGGACAACAAGCATCTCGTTGATTTGGCCTGTAGAGCAGCGCCCCGGATCGCCTCCAACACCGGTCGACCAGAGTCTGATAGTTGGCAGGGCTCATAGATGTTGCACGTGCAAAATAGGAGTGGCCTAGGGCGTGGTGTAAGTAAAATGCTGCTCAAATCACAGTTGCAAGAACCGCCATGTGGTTAGACCGGAGCCCCTTGTAGGACGCTACACGAAGCAGGAGACTCAACGCAGGATATAACGACAACTAGACAGTATACATGAATAGCCTGCACACCAGTGGGCAGGAAAGCATGACCGAGGGGGCATCGGATCGTGAACAGATCCTAGTATGATGAGGTAGACATACTTTTCTGCGACCGATCATTATTACCCTTACGATGGCAGTAGCCGCAGCTAGATGAACTTCTATATCCTGAAAAGAGTTAGTCACAGAGCGTCTACGTAGGCATCATGAGCTGCAGAGCCCAGTCTCCAGGACGAGCTGAGTAAGAAATAATCGTCCCGGAAAGTGGATATAGGAGTTGTCGATGGTCGCTTGACCAGGTCTGCGATCGACATCTGATCCCGAAAGGGGAATAAGGAGGCAGCATCTCGGGAACATAGCGGGAGTCGGGAGTATGCACGAGATGTTGAAACGGAATCTAGAATGAAGACGGGTTGAGCTAACACGCGATGATACACCGGCTGGCTAAGAGGTTGCGATTGCACGGCTGGCGAGATTCGCACGAGGTGAGCAAAGATTCTGGTAGGCTTGTGGCTGAATTCCCGACATTTCAATGGTAGCTTGGCATAAGTGACTCCAGATGAACATGTACGAACAGAACATATGCATGTCTCTCCCAGCTGCTCTCTTGGAGCAATGCGGCGCTTTTAGAGACGCCAGTGGGCTGGTCGTGGCGCGCCAACGAACACGACGGAGAGTTGTATTCCCCATAAAAGCCGTATGCAAAGCAAGCTGGCCAACGACAGTGTCGCAATGGAGCACGGGTCCGAACGGTTGGTCGAGGGCGTACGGGAGCGGCTCGGGGTATATAGAAGTAGATGGACTTAAGGCAAAGATCTGACTCACCAATTGGCGATATATACAAAAATGCATCTTCAGGGGGGGCCTGCATCTTTTCAAAGTAGCGCCCCGGCGGATGGCTAGGTTTTTTTTCTTAGATGGTCAGACAAGCAGGACAGACAGACAGGGCACTTGATCAGAGTAGAAGACAGCTCACGCGCGCGGGCAGGGATTTGTGAATTATTTGGCAAGGGGACAGCGAACGTACGAGGTGGATTGGACGAAAGAGTCGGTGTCGAGTCAGACGATGAGGTTGGGGATAAGTACCGCTATATGTAGCGATCAGGGTGCGAGGTAGAAAATAATAATAATAATATATTGCCTGGTAGATAGGTAGTCTCTTTCTGTAGATGGTTTTATGACTTTATGCGTCGAGAAATCTTGGCGCGGCGTGCATGACCTGCATATTGAGTTGTCCGAGTTTAGGTTGAGCGGTTAACACAAAAAGGAGAAAGGTAAAAGGGGAACAGAGAGAGCTTGGTATTATTCGGGTCTGCCAGGTACTACCTTGATTGGGTATTTATCTGCATCGACAAGGTAGGTACACCTCTGCGGTGACTACCTTCCCGTTACATTGGTAGTTCGATGGTTTCCCCAAAGGCAGCGATGTCAATCGTTACTACCTACTTGATGCACGTTCTTACATGTAGGTAGGCAAGTTCTGGATTAAAGAGTTGCATGGCATTATGCAGGTGCTATGACGAATTATACAACCTAGCCTAGAATATCGACTGTATAACAAACAACAATTAAGGTATTGCCATAAATCTAAAAGGGATCAACCCATTGAGCTTAGCAAGACGAGGTAGGAAACATTACTTTGGGATAATTCTAGGGATGAACGAGGTAGTAATGCTCCAAATACTTCATTTTTCCATTTTCTATAATCGATACTTACAAAAGAGCAATTGTAGATTTATAATACAAGTTTAAGTAAATCAGAGGCTTTCGGATCTAAGCAATCTATAAAAGCCGGAAGTTTTCTTCCATGTGTAGGTATATTATGTGCATGTGCGCGTACCTAATATAGTAGGTACGTATGTACCTATTATCATATACCTACCTAAGCTTCCGACCTATTGGTGTAGATAAAGGATGGATCTCTGGGTATTTAGGGTCAAAATACTACGTCACTGACCCGGGTTGGTTTTGTCATGCTGATGGACTTGGTCTTTGACACTTCACTTTTGCTCTTATGCCATAGCATTGGATGTATTGGCATACGTCTATCTATGCCGGTAGTGGATATAGCGGTGTGTCGTCTTATATACATAAATACACGTTGGGTGTTAGAAGGATTCCCCTCCACGATATGTCTCAGTTGTAGTTCAACTGGGGAGCTCGGTGATCGACGGTAGGATGTAAGCGAGGGGTAGATCCGATTCAAGGCCATACCGACCAAGCTTGCCAGCCGGCCAACCCACTTACTTACCTTGTGTAGCTATAAAATAAGTGCCGGCCAATTAGACCTACCAAGTAAAAGGAGCTATACCTTCAACTAGATGTAACACCAGAGTTCAATGGCAACCAACACATGCGAGTAATACGTGTTTAAAATATGGACGCATTAGCTTGCAGTAGAGACTATCCAACGCGTATGAAAATGCATATACCAGATGCATAGCCAAGTTCAGGGGATTTACATAAAACAATTGCGTGGTGAGGTGGAATCTGAAGCAAGCGGAATTCTTTCTACATAACAGGTACGGATTACCTAGGTAGCTACATATAACCTCTGTATGTTGAGGTATGCACCTAACGAGGTACGGCGAGATTGATGTAAACTCCGTTTTGAGAAAATGAGAAAAATTTTTCTCTTCTCTACTTTTTATCCTCCACTCTTCTCATAAAAATATTAGGTTCGGCCCTCTGCCCGTAGCCCAGAAGTTATTATATTCTGGTCCCTTTAGCACCTTTTTCTGCCATGTATAGTGGTACGTACACTACGATGTAAGCGGCAGTCCTTGCTGCTTTCAAAACATCGTGCATGTGTTTCTTATACATAGGTACCGAAGCATACATCATTGATGTTGCTATGTACCTCACCTAGGGTAACTCATCCACTTACTCAAACACGCCGGTCTACATAACTACCTACCTAGGTACCTGTATTATGTATTGTACATAATGCAATTGAACTGAGTAAGGTACCTAGGTACCCAAGGTAAGCCGGTAAGCGAGTAAGATACTTACAGTAGGTATCTACACGTTATACAAGTTATTTAAAGCTATCGGGTACTTCCAGCTACTTGTTCGTGCGTCCACCCTACTTCCCCCCTGGTACCCTTGTTATTGTGGCGAGCTGTATGGCTTTGCCTTGCCTTGTCTTGCCTTACCTCACCTGTCATTGAATATGTACCAAGCAGCAACGCACGGGGATGCTAGTACGGTACGGATGGTTTGCAAATGGAAGGAACATGGAGGTTTTAGGTAAGTTAGGAGGTAGCTAGGTAAGTATTTAGGTACCCTCTAGGTAGTCCTGGGCCCTGCATCTCACAACCTTACTAAAGGCAAAAGGGTAAGTCGTACCTACCTAGCTCGTGCTTTCGCCCTGGTCCGCGGCTCCTCGTCTAAGCTGGGGGCTCCTTTTTTTTTCTCCCTTTAGAAAAAAAAAGAGAAAGTACTATAAAACGCAACTCAGCCAGCTTTTCCTTGTCTGTGCCCCTCCATTTTTATTTCAGTTATGGCACGAGACTTGCAACGTTCGTGCTGGTCTAGCCAGAACAGCAACTTTCTCCTTCGCTCGTTAGTGGTTCAACCTCAACCTCAACACCGTGCCAGACATCCTGGGCATCGTGCTCCCACTCGCCAACGAAGCACCTGTGCACTTCCTACTTGACCGCCGGGTATTCTGTCCTGTACTCCTTCTCCCCACAAAAAAAAAACCGCTGCAGAATCCGAAAGACGTCGGCCTATGCGACGAATTCGTCTCACCTACCCGCAACCTTGACTCCTACAAAGCCCCGGGATCTACCGCACTTTTCTTTCCCAGCGCTTCCGTAACGCACCCCCCCGAACTTCTGAAGAAAAAGCCCGAAGTCACACGTGAGTCCGAATGAGCGTGTCTATGTGGACGTCCAATTTTGCCAATACCGCTCACCATTCCCTTTCCTTGTTGGTTGCTAGGGCCGGATTCCCAAGACATTACAACGCAGCTATTCGTGCATTGAGCATCGAGCATTAAACATTGGAGAGCCAACCGTAGACGGACGCTGGAGTAAAAGAGGGACAAGAGAATTGATTCGTACACAATCCCCAGCATCACGAGAACGCGATCATCATATCGCCGGGGGGGGGGGGGGGGGGGGGGGGGGGGGGGGGGGGGGGGGCGGGGGGGGGGGGGGGCGCGGGGGGGGC